TATAACTATAAATTTTTAATATGACTTAACAGTAGCAGAAAAAAATAAGTAATTCAGTGAATTTTTAAGTAGCATTGTTAGAAAATTGTTAGTTATAAATTGTCTGGTATTAAAAAAACAATCACACACACCATAGTTGAATTTGAATTTTCTTTCTAGATCTAGATAGATAGCCAACCATTTTCGAATAAGTAATACGATATTAAGGTTAAATGAAATAAAATTAAAAATGACAAAAAAAAAAAAAAACCATTTTTGTCCTGGCAAGTATAAGCTTGTGACGTTTTCATTGCTTTCATTATCTAATCCTGCGATTTTAACGAAAAATTAAGACTGCAATTTATTGGACTTCAAGCACATAAATAAATGAATCGAGCTGAAAATCATGGAATGTAGTAATTTAAATTTTTGAAACTTTTTTGTAAATTTTCTTAAAATATGATTATTATTTATATCTATTGTTATTACTTTATTGTTCTGATATTTAATAATTGTTTTAATTATTAGTAAAGCTCCTTATGCAAACATCCTCTCTGTTGTAATAAGAGACTTTTAGTTTAATTGTGCTATGTGGAAAGTGTGGATTGACTTTTTTGGATATTTATTATTTTATATCCTTATTTGAATATATATATATATATATAAATATATATATTTATTATATAAAACAAATTTATCTAATCTAAACATACATAAAAGAGTCAAAAAATTAGTCATCTGTCGACCTCTAATTTACTCTTTTTTCTATTTTTTTCACATTTCGTTTCTTGTTGCTTTTTTTATTTTCTTAAATCTCCTATACAGTTTTATTTTATTTTATTTTATTTTTTTTGCCTATTTTTCTTTTTTTTTCTCTAATATTCTTTTACAGTTTAATTTTTTAACAATATATTTTTTAAATACTTTCTTTTTTCATTTTATTTTAATTAAAATAATTTTTTTCAAATATCTCCTCACTTAAGTGTTTCTTTTTTTTTGGAACTCTTATTTAAGTTTGATTCTTTTTTAATGTGATCTTTTGAAATATTTTTTTCCTCTTACTCTAATAAATGGACTTAGTTTCTAAGAAAGTTACTTGGTTCAACTAGTACACTATAAAAGAGAGAATATATAAATGTGGTGGTTTTATTCACACACTCATTTTTACTCTCCGCACCACCTTTAAATAAAATTTTCTTATGACAAAAAGAATACAATGACAAAAAAGAACAATTATAACATATTTAATTATGTAATTAAATTTAATTCATAAAAGTTACTAATTATATAGTTTTTATTTCTCTCTACACACCCCACATGTTTTAACCTAAATTATAAACTATTGATATTTTAAATTTTATAAAAAACTTATAATTTTCACCTCTTAATAACTAATCCAAAAAGTTGCATTGATATAATGTTAAATTTTGTTTGCTATTGGTTGTATGACGATTTTTATTTTATCTTTTTTCATTTCATATTTATATTTTTTTACTTATTTTTTTAAAGACTAATGATTTTATTTTGTTTTTTAATTCATTCTTTTATGGAATTGGATTGATTTTTTTTCCCGTTTCATCTTCTATTTGTTTTTTTTTTTTTTTGAAAAAACGATTCACACCTAAAAATTCAGCCCAAAAAAAAAGAAAGGATAGGAAAATAATAGTATCTAAATAAAAAACTAAAATAGTATGGTGAGTGTGAAAAGAAAATTGAAATGGACAAGAAATAAATATTTTAAAAATAGTTAAGGTAGGGGTGTTTAAAAAGTAAATTTAGTACTTTTAAACTTATGTGAGGTGTGTATTTAGAAGAGGATGTAGAGAATAAAAAAGATAACTCTTTAGAATTCTTATTTTGATCGCATTTAAAATGTCATGGTCATTACCATCAACACATTCAAAATTAGCTTTCATTGTTAGTCATATTGATTCTTGTACCAACAACATTTAATATGAATTTTCTTACGTGAAAGATCTTGTTTTGGATTCGGCTAGTTATGCATAATGCTAAATCATCAAAATTTTAATAGATTTTATCAGTTTTTTTATATGATTTTAAATTGGTGGAATTATAATGTAGTATTACGTAATATTCATAAACACGTACACTATGAAAGATACTCTACTACATAACGCTTCAAAAAACAATATCTAACCTTTTTCAGTTGAAAACTTATTTACATAGAGGTCAAAATCTTACTTTGAAAAGCGAGAAACAATGGCCATGTTTGGCTATGATCTCTGTTTTCTGTTCTCAAAAATGTGTTTTTACGAATAAAAACAAAAATTATTCACATTTATTTTCAAAGAACAAATAGTGTTTGACAAACATAAGTACAGTAAAATAATTTATTACTTTAATATAATCTTTTTATACTTGAGGCGTAGCAGCTTTTTTATTTTTAAGTTCAATAGGGAAATATAAAAAAAACTAAAATAATAAATAAGAACGGTAAATAAATTGAGCTGCATTATATTCATTGAATATTGATCAGACTCGACACAAACATAAGTACAGTAAGATATTACCTAATGAGCACAAATGATACTTAAAAAAAAAAAGGAAAAAGGGAAAAACCTATAGTAATCCGACGTTACAAAAAATGAAAAAATAAGATGAAACGATTTGCTTATAAAGATAGACTAACAAATAAATATAAACACAAAATGAAGAGCAAAAAGTAAAAAGAAAAATCTTCATACTAAAAATAGCAAAGAAACTTAAACATACTTCCATGTAATTTTTTGAAATAGTTAATGAAAAGTGAAAATTAGGGTGCAGCTATGGATTTTTGAAATAGAAAGTATATAATTTAGAAATATGATATGTGGGGTGTGTGGAGAGAAAATAGATTCTCTATTAAATTTTTCTTCCGTGATAAAATTTAATAATATAATTAAGTCTATTGTTTTTTTTGGTCATTTTATTTATGGGCCTTTTTAATAAAAAACTTTTAATTAAAAAATTTATGAGTTAAAAAGCGGATGTAAATAGAACTACCTCAGATTTTATCCCAATATCAAGTAATTTATATGTTTTCTTTTATTTTTTTGGCTGGTAGAAAGTACATAATTTGATTACCAAACGAAAGATAAGACAAAAGATAAACGCAAGCGAGTACAAAAAATGCTACGAAGGGAGTGGTCACACAGGATTACTACACTTGTAAAGGTCCCACAACCTTTTGACTTTTCGAGCATAAGTTTTTGTCTGTAAACAATTTGTTACCAAGAATGGAATGGAATGAAGAAAGACCAAAGTAAAAAAAAAAATTTTGCAAAAAAAATAAATAAATAAATGATGGGAAAAGCAAGAAGAAAAAAAGAAAGGAAGAAAAGGAATGAACATAAAGTCAACAAGAGGGAAAAATAAAAATATTACTAATGAAGAAACTTCCCTTGTAGGGATTTTTTTTAATTAACCGTTTTGAATTTTTAAAATATGAGTTCATATAAAACTTACCAACATAATAAATTTAATTACATCTAAGTATTATTTTTATTTTTAATGAAACTGAGTTGGGCATCTTCTCAAACTCAAACTTCACCTCATATAACACATAAAAATAATGATATTTAATTAAAATGTGTTTTTTCTTAAACAAAACCGAATTTAAATCAGCGTCATCTCAAACTCAAACTGGTAGCCTTTTGTTTTCAATCTATCCTAGAATTTTCTTAATAAAGGACAAATATGTAATTATACTGAAGTGACTTGGAAATGACCGTAAACAAAAAAAAAAAAAAAAGTAACTGACGAGAGTAGAAGTGTAACACAATAAAAATGGTATTTAAATTATCTCTATTGGAATCAAACCCCATCACTCATAAAATTATAATTCTTTTAAAGTTAGATTTCACCTATCAACTTTACTTAATTAGCGGTATTTTAACTTCATTCGGATAAATAAGAATGCTCTCGGGACAAATACCAAAATATGGTATGAAGTTTGAACGTAATAAAAGGTAATTGGTGGTTGCACACCTGGCCATGACTGTAGCACTCCATATTAAGAGAGCGAAAATAGCAACTCACATATATACATACATATATAGAGAGAGAAAATGAGAGAATAAGAGAGAGAGAAAGCGCTCGAATTGGGTGAATCCCAATTAAATTCTTAACCCTCTCTCTCTAAAGAGCTTTTAAAACCCATCAATATTCATTCAGCAGTTACAATTCCATAGAACAACAAAACCAACAACACATATATACAATAATAACAAAAATAATAAAATCCTTTTTCTTTTTAATTTTAGTTCTTTCTGCCAACTAGCAATTCAGTCATATATCCATATATACACACACAATTCACAAACAAACAAACAAACAAACACAAGAGCAGCTATCGCAAACAGTGAAAGTGGCATACACTATTCTACTACTATACACTACACAGTCTAATATAGTAGTAGTATAGTGGGTTTTAGTCTTAGAGGAAGAAGAGATCAAGCTTGGCTATTTCATATATATATATATATATATACACACACACACACACACACATATAGACTCCTTTTTTTCTTTTTCTTTTTTTTTTTCTCTTTATATGTTCTTTTTTTTTTGTCTTCAAGATTTCATATCTTCATCATCATCTCCTTAACTCACTCCCTTGTCACCAAAATCATTGCCCCATTTCAGCCGTTTTTCTTCTCCAAACAATGAGAACCAAATAAACAAAACCTTTTTCTCTTTTTTCTTTTTTTGTTTTGTTTTTGGTTACATATATTCAACGTCTCTACTTGTTCATTATACTTTCTGTACATAAATATTTTCCTTTTTGTCTTCCGTTACCAAAAGGCCAAAAAAAAAAAAAAAAGTTAACAATATCTGTTTCTTTTCTTTCTTCCTTTTTTTTTCCTCATTCGTTTTTCCTTATTTTGTAATGAGAAGAAGACTTGTTGTTTATGGTGGCGGTTCATCGTGGTCTTTTGAAGTAGAAATACTGTTTGGCCACTGAGAAAAGTATAGACAGATTTTTTTTTTCTTTTTTTTCATATAAAAGAAAAAGAAAAAAAATGGAATACGCGAGTGGTGGCTCAGGAGGAGGACGAGACAATGATGCCTCCGATGCTCAGAGAAGGAAGAAGCGTTACCATCGTCACACTGCTCACCAGATTCAGAAACTCGAATCGTACGTCAGACCAAAAAAAAAAAATCCTTTTTTGTTATTATTTTTCTTTATTTTTTTTTAAGTTTTTGGGTTTTTCTCTCCTCTTTGATATGAATATTGGGTTTCTGAGGATTTTTTTACTTTTATTTTTTTGTAATGTTTCATGAAGGATGTTCAAGGAGTGTCCACACCCAGATGAGAAGCAGCGGCTGCAGTTGAGTAGAGAGTTGGGTTTGGCTCCTCGCCAGATCAAGTTTTGGTTCCAAAACCGAAGGACCCAGATGAAGGTATATATTTATATTTATATAAATCATTTAGATATATATTTTAAATGTATTATTATATGAGTTATATTATACATAATATGTATATATATATATATATATATGTATGTGATTGTAGGCACAACATGAGAGAGCAGACAATTGTGGGCTAAGAGCAGAGAACGACAAGATCAGATGTGAAAACATTGCAATAAGAGAGGCACTTAAGAATGTTATCTGCCCTTCTTGTGGAGGACCTCCTATCAACGATGACTGTTTTTTTGATGAACAAAAACTCCGAATGGAAAATGCCCAATTGAAAGAAGAGGTCTTTTTCTCTATTAAAACAAAAACTCTTTTCCCTATTTCTTCATCAAACCATTTGAGCAGTCCTTTTGGTGTTAATTCCTCTTCATTACCCATTAAAAAAAAAAAAAATCATATCTTTATTCTTGAGCAGTCCTTTTGGTGTTAATTCCTCTTCATTACCCATTAAAAAAAAATCATATCTTTATTCTTTTTTTTTTTAATGGAATATCTCAACACCTCTAAAAGTTGGTTAACTTTTTGGTGGCGAATTTCTTAGGAACTAGCAAAAGCAATAAATCATTTTTATACATCTGCTTTTGAGTCAATTTTATATTATTTTTAATTTGTAAGAAAATTAAATTATCACGTCAATTTTGAATTATTTTTTAGGAACTAGTAAAGGAAATCGATCTCTATAATTTTTGTTTTTTTGTTTTTTTTGGATTGTGTTTAGCTTGACAGGGTTTCTAGTATTGCTGCAAAGTACATTGGGAGGCCAATCTCCCAACTCCCACCAGTCCAACCAATTCACATTTCTTCCTTAGACTTATCAATGGCAAGCTTTGGAGCTTATCATGGCCTTGGAGGCTGCGGTGGTGGCCCGTCCCTTGACCTCGATCTTCTACCCGGCAGCTCATCCTCTATCCCCACAATGCCATACCAGCCACCAGGCATTTCCGACATGGACAAGTCCCTCATGACTGACATCGCGGCAAATGCCATGGATGAGCTGCTCCGGCTTCTCCAGACCAATGAGCCGCTTTGGATCAAGTCTGCTGTCGACGGCAGGGATGTCCTTAACCTCGACAACTATGAGGGGATCTTTCCAAGGCCTAATAGCCACTTGAAGAATCCAAATCTCCGAATTGAGGCCTCGCGAGACGCCGGAGTTGTTATCATGAATGGTTTGGCATTGGTGGACATGTTCATGGATTCGGTAACTTTTTTTTTTTTTTTTTTGGATCCGGTAAATTCAATTCTTTTTCCTTAGTCCTATAAAATTATGATTGACTTGTTTGAGGAAAATTCATGCAGAACAAATGGGTAGAGCTATTTCCCACAATTGTGTCAATGGCCAGAACAATTGAAGTCATATCATCTGGGGTGTTAGGAAGTCATAGTGGCACTTTGCAGCTAGTAAGAATCCAATTAAAGCTTAATTTAATCACCATCACATTTTCTCTGTTTTTCAATTTTTTTTCCCCTCTGAAGAATTACGGATCACTTCCAAGGATAAAATAAAAGTATCGATATTATGAAAATATTTTAAATTTTTGAATATTCCCATGTATATATTAAAATAAAATAAAAAATCTTTACCGTTTTCAACATGAAAATATTTTATTTATGGATATATTCTTTTATATCTAAAAACATATAATATTGTCATTGCTGACTTCTAATGAGTTTTGAATTTTGTCATTTTCTTCAGATGCATCAAGAATTGCAAGTGCTCTCTCCTTTGGTACCCACAAGAGAGTTCTACTTCCTCCGCTATTGTCAACAAATAGAACAAGGCTTGTGGGCCATTGTTGATGTTTCGTATGATTTGCCTAGAGACAATCAATTTGCTAATCAATGCAGATCTCATAGGCTTCCTTCCGGGTGCTTGATTCAGGACATGCCCAATGGCTACTCCAGGGTGACCAATATTGATAATATTTATTATTACTTATGAATTTAAATTAGTCCTCTAAATCAAATACAGTATAAATTTAATTATTACTTATGTGTGATGGGAATTCTAATGCATACACATATATTTGTGACAAAAACAGGTCACTTGGGTTGAACATGTGGAAATTGAAGACAAAACTCCAACTCATAGACTCTATAGGGACCTTATTCATAGTGGTTTGGCATTTGGAGCAGGAAGATGGCTTGCCACTCTTCAGAGGATGTGTGAAAGATTTGCTTGCCTAATGGTCTCCGGAGCTTCAACTCGCGATCTCGGAGGAGGTAAAAAAATAATAATAATAATTTTGACGACATGGTTTTGAGGTTCCAATTCTAACCGCAATTTTTATTTATTTTTTCTTTTTTTATTTTTGGGTGCTTAGTGATTCCTTCTCCGGATGGCAAGAAAAGCATGATGAAACTTGCGCAAAGAATGGTCAACAACTTTTGTGCCAGCATTAGTACGTCCAATGGCCACCGGTGGACAACTCTTTCCGGTCTAAATGAGGTTGGAGTCCGAGTAACCGTCCATAAGAGTAGCGATCCTGGTCAACCCAACGGTGTTGTTCTTAGTGCAGCCACTACTATTTGGCTTCCAATTTCTCCCCAAGATGTCTTCAATTTCTTTAAGGATGAAAGAACGAGATCCCAGGTATGTATTATGTTCCTCCATCAAAATTTCTACAATCGTTCATACCAATAAACATTTGATACTAATCAGATTAAGTAAGAACTGTTACATTGGTTTTTCTTTTTCATTCCATTTCTCCAGTGGGATGTTCTCTCCAATGGCAATGCAGTTCAAGAAGTAGCCCACATTGCGAATGGATCGCATCCTGGGAATTGCATTTCCGTTCTCCGAGTAAGTCCGCATGTTTCGTTCATGATTCAATTCAGCTAATTTCGTTTTCTAATATTCAGAAAATGAGTAATTAATTAAAGTGTTTCCTTAATAATCAGAATCAAAATTCTTATCATTTAATTGTTTTGATTTCCTTTCTAATGTTTATAAAAATGGTAAACTACTAAAATATAACTGTTCGCGCAAAAAAAAAAAAAAAAAAAGTACTGTACTTAGATTACTAAGCCAATATAGGAAAAACTTTATTCAATTAATAAGGCAATTTGCAATGATTATTTTTACTTGATTCTACTCCACATTCAAAAATAAATTCTGATCTCATTAAGTATAAATTATTAACAAAACTTATGTGACAAATGAGTTGTTATTATTTTGTTTGTTGGTTGGTTTTGCCAAAAACAGGCTTTCAACACTAGCCAGAACAACATGTTGATACTCCAAGAGAGCAGCATAGACGCATCCGGCTCAGTGGTTGTGTACTGCCCAGTCGACCTTCCGGCCATCAACATTGCCATGAGCGGTGAGGACCCGTCCTATATCCCGCTACTTCCCTCAGGCTTCACCATCTCACCGGATGGCCGGACCGAGCCAGGAGGCGGAGGGGACGGGGCCTCGACGAGCTCTGCCGCCGTGCCGCCTGGAAATGCCATGGGCCGCTCTAGCGGGTCCCTAATCACGGTGGCGTTCCAAATACTAGTGAGCAGCCTGCCGTCGGCGAAGCTGAATTTGGAATCGGTGACGACGGTTAATAACCTAATTGGCACCACCGTCCAGCAAATTAAGGCTGCATTGAACTGTACCAATTCATGATCATCATAATCATCACCATTCATTCACCAAAAGTATCCGCAACTTTTTTTCTACCATCCTTAAATATCCTGATCAGAAGGGGTGGGTTAAGAAGAAGTTAAAGAAGTTAAACCTTTAAAAAAAAAAAAAAAAAAAAAAAATTGATATGGTTTTGCTTGGTGGAAGTTAGTTGGAGAACTTGAATGCCCTCTCATCAAGAGCTCAAGCTGTTTAATTACTACTACTGCCTGCTGGCTTCTGCTGCTTCTGCCGCTGCTGCTGCTGCTTTTGTTGCTAAGGCTTCATTACAATTTACACCAACTACAAGGATTTTCTTTTTCTTTTTTTTTTTTTTTTTGGGGTAGGTTATTGTTTTTTTTAGTTTGGTTTTTTTTTTCTTTGTTATGAAAGAATTTTGGGTCTTAAAAGGAGGGAGTCAAGAACGCACCATATTTAGCGTTTTTTCTGCTGTTGGGTTTTAGAGGAATTTTTTATTTATTTTTATTTAATTCTTTATAACAGACAGAGCAGGAAACTACATCAGATGTATGGTTCGGGTATTGACTTCCTATTTAATAGACTTAAATTCATAATCTTTCTTTTTGTTACTTTATTGTTATTGATCCATTAATGCTGTAAAAACAATTACTCTTTTCTTTTTTATCTCACTTTTCTTTTCTACTCAATATTGTATGTTTCACTATAGTTTACAAATGGCTGCTCATGATGTATTTAAAGTCATGTTTTGGATCTTTCGTTAACTTTCATATTCAATTATAATTAAGAGGTTTGTCAGGAGTTGAAGAAAAAAAGAAGACTAGAATAAGAATTCGTAGGGGCCAGATATTGACAGTTGGGATAAATGCTTAAAAAAAAATAAAAAAAAAAAAAAAAAAAAAAAAAAAAAGGAAAAGAAATTCTGGGCTCCATTGCTTCTTCTCTGTCTTTCAGTCTACGAAGGAGAGAGTAAATGATCAGCTTAAACGTCAAATTTATCTTTATAAGCCTTGACACTTTTTCTTGGGAAAATTGAAGAGCTTCGGCTTACTATCTCTTCTGGGAGAAGTTCTGTTTCTACCTTATACCACTTTTTATCTACTCGTTTTGATTTCATGATTTCCCAACATTTTCTACCTATAATTGGCAAGCGAATTATAAGAAGTTTATGTTTAACATAGAGAATTTTGTATTGATATTGTACAGGTTTATACATCATATCTTTATAGACCCGTTTATTTCATGCGTTTAAACTCATGATTTTGATTCTACTATAGTGTTTTTCTCTTATAAAAAATTAAAATTTTAAATGTCAAATTTAAGAATTACTGATTTGAACGTATGAACCAAACAGGTCCTTAATACTAGTAGATTCCTACCACATAATTGTCCGTCATTTAATTTAATGTGGTTCTATTCACATCCCGTCTTTTTACTCTTCACAGTCCCATCAATTAAAAATTTCTTATTATAAAAAGGTCCGTATATAAAATAGCAAAAAATAATAGTAGACTAAATTAAATAATTAAATTTTAATACAAAAGGAAAATTAATAGTCTTTTTTCTCTCCATACGCCCCACATATCATATTCCCAAATTATAAACTATTTCTATGTTAAAAATCCATTGTTAAACCTAATTTTCACTTTTCAATAACTATTCTAAAAAATTACATAGAGGCATGTTTAATTTTCTTTATTATTTGTTATATGGAGATTTTATTTTTACTTTTGTTTTTCTTTTTGTGTTCATATTTATTTGCTAGTCTATCTTTTAAGCAAATTGTTTATTCTTTTTTTCGTTTTTTATAATGCAAGATGACGAGGTTTTTGTTTTTTGTTTTTGTTTTTATGCCACTTGTTCTTATGACATAATATCTTACTGCATTTTTGTTTGTTATCGAGTCCGATCAATATTCTGAATATAATGCAACTCAGTTTAAGGTTTTAATTATTTTTTATTTACCTTTCTTATTTATTCTTCTTTTTTTTTTTCCGTTGAACTTAAAAATAAAAAAGCTGTTATGCCTAAAGTTCCAACAACAACAACAAAATAATAATAAAAAGATATAAATAAAAGATATAATAAAAGGTAACATTAAAATATTAAATTAATTATGTGGGGTGTGGAGAAAAAAGAAGTGGGTGAGTGTGGAGAGAAAAGAGGGGCTGTAAATAAAATCATCCTTAATGATTTTATAAAAAGTAGTTAGGGCTAATTTTAGAATATTAGAGGTGTGTCGAAAGAAAATTTAATTATTTAAAAATTATATAGGTTGCGTAATTAGATGGAGGGTGTGGAGAGTAAAAATGAAGTGTGAATATAACCACCATTTAATTTAATAGGATAAATTTTTTTTTGGTGGTTCTATAAGCACACCCATTTTTACTCTTCACACTCTCCTCACATTAAAAACTTCTTATTACAAAAAGACTCTTAAATAAAATGACTAAAAATGACAATAGACTTAGCTATATAATTAAATTTTATTATAAAATGGAAACTAATAGAGAGTCTTTTTCTCTCCACACACCCTACCCACCATATTCTCAAAATATAAACTATTTCTATTTCAATAATCCATAGTAAAACCTTAATTAATTTTCACCTTTCAATATCACAAAAAGTTACATGGAAGTATGTTCAATTTTCTTTACTATTTGTTGTGTGAAGATGTAACCACCCAGCATCTCGATCTGTTACTAAATGTGACTTTAATGCGAAAAAACGACATTAACATCTTAAAACATCTTAAAAGTGAAATACTTTAGTTACTGAAATTTTTGGTTTTTTTTAAGACTTATTTTGAAACATAGTTCCATTCATCATTTATAAAAGTCACAAATTATTTTAAACGATTTAAAACTAGCCTTGTATATAAAGTATCACAACGTAATATTATAGATACTATCAGCTTCAGAGCTTACTTAACCAGTTTTATAAAATCTCGTACTTATTTCGTATAATTATAACATTCATGTCTCAAATCATCTTTAACTTTTGTTAATTTAATACAAAGGAAATTCAGATTACAAATTCGAATTAATAATTACAACTTCCTTTTAAATTATTCACCCTAACCATAACTTTAAACCTTCTTAACTTTATGCAAAATTTAACTGCATAGTGGTATCCATTGCCCAATCCCTCCATTGTAGGCATTCTTCATTGCGAAGTCCATCATTTAATCGTAAGTTGTTTACCTACAGTATGAACAAACTTGTGAGCCAAAACTCAGCGAGTACAAATATTCCTCACAAAAAATTTTCCACAACAATTATCACAAAGTGAGAATGCATGACCATTATGCTTCCTTTATAAGAGTGTATTTTGTTCTCATTAAGGGCCCTGTGCTCATACCCATGTGCGCAAGACTAAGAGGAGTGGGGGAGCGACCCAAATATTTAGTCTAACTATCCGAAGGTCTTGGAAATTCCTCCCATCCCATGAGCTCAAGGAAATTCCTCACGTACTCATGTAAAAGGGCGGTACAACACTTAACATTTCATCATTACTATAGCATCTTACTTAGGTAAACATACAATTGTGATCATGTCACAAAGTAATCATTAAAACATACTTTATCAAGAGGTGATATAACATTTACATCATATTCATTAGCTATGTCACAAAAGTATAATTTGTAAAATACTTTAAAGGACATACATTTCATCATGCTCATCAATCACATCATAGAGAATATATGCAGTGCAAACAAGCATGCAATTCCTCAAACATAACATTTTAAAACTATTCATGTTGTACGTAAGGCTTGTACTCACCTAGGCGCTATCGTTTAGCGTTTACCCACAGTACACCACTTTCGTTTGTTGGTGCGTTCTGTATTCACCATTACCAGTAACCGACTATCAGTTTATTATTTATTTTTTTTTTACTTATTTGGTTTAAGTGTTAGAGACTTAGTTTTCTTAACATTAATTAGGATTAACTACTCCTTTTAATTCTTATTACATTTTCCTTTAGGTTAGCCAATTAAGTACTTAACCTCCCATTAATGATTCCAGTAACCGACGTAGGTTAATTATTCTTTACTTCTTACATAATAATTTCTCATTAATTAATTAATTAGCTCATTAGATCTTACAGATTTATAATTCAGATAATCATTTTCACTTTATTTTAGGGTGTAGGAATTTAATTTAGTTGCGTTACTATGAGTATTCTTTTAGTATACCGTTAAGTTAACCCTGTTATATTTATTTGGACTTACCTAATTTTTAATCATTCTTGAAGTTAGAACTGGGCCATATGGGCTTAGGCCATGACTAGTTACCTAGTAGGTTTTCCTTTACGGTCAACCTAAGAGTTACCTTATCCTTATGCGAGCCTTTGAGCCCGTTTTGAACTTCTTAACCTACTTCAGTTCATACGAGATCACTTCTAATCTTCCAAGTGTCCTTAGACTAACCAAGCATTCATGACTATCGACAGACAGTTTTACCTTTTAAAAAATTATCATTTTGCTCGGCGATTCAAAAATTACAAATCTAAGGTACTCATTTCCCTAATCATTGTGCCCTCAAGAACCTCGAGCTAAAACTCAGAGCTCGGTGTCCGTCGTACTATTTTACTCATTAATGGACAAAATGACTTATTGCCTTTCTAAGTGATTAGAAGATTAAATTTTAGACTTCCCTAACCACTTTCTGCCTTATTAAGGTTCTGAACTCCTATTTATAGGTTGACCCACATATTTTCTATCTAAAAATTATAATTTTACCCCTAACGTCTAGAATTTATAATACCTATGGTCCGTCTTGACGTCTCTACACCTTTAGACTCATCTTAATGCAAGGATCAAAACTATTAACTGCGCCAAAGGCTAATTCTAACCGCAAGGACAATTTACCCTCAATCAAAGTTGTTGAGAATGTTGACATAAAAGCATAAGATGTAATAAAAAAATATTATTATTTATTTAATAAAAGAGAAATTTCATTATCTATGTGCATGTATTATTGAATACTTTATGAATATCATTGAAAATTCTATGATTATTTATG